CCCGCGGGCGGGGGGGGAACCCCAGCCGGCCCCGCAGGCTGCGGAGAGCCGACCGCCGGCGGAGGGTCGCGATCCCCCGGGACAGAAGGAGACCCCCAAACGCCAAGTTTCTCCGACGGGGACCGCGACCCTGCCCTGCTCAGCCCTCCCGAGCTGTCACTTAGCCCCGCTGCGCCGGGGAGCAGCCCTGCCCCAGCCCGGCCCGCTGGGCAGCCGGTGCCCGGCACCTCCCTGGGGCCGATCCCGGAGCCCTTGGGGACTGCCCGCGTGTCCCCCGTCCCGTCCCAGCTTGGCTCCCGCGGGGAGCTTGAACCACCGGCTAAATCACATCTGTCCCCTCTGACATGTGCTGGGCAGCGGCGTAATTAAGATGAAAGCGGATATGTCAGGAGTGAGGGGGTTTGTGCGAGGGCGGCAGGAGGGACGAGAGCGGGGCTCAGCACCGGGGGAGCCCCCGGCCTCCGCCCCGGCCCCGCCACCCCAGGATGCGTAAATCCCGCCTGGTGATGGCACACAGAGATAGGGAGACCTCAGGGATGTGTCTGAAGTCCATAAAGAAAAACCACTATTTCCTAGAGAAACCCCCCCTCGCTGTCACAGCCCGGAGGAGGCATCCTTCAGCAGCGAACCGGTGCCTGATTCAAACCAGCTGTGCCAAACCCAGCCCAGCTCTCCCAGGCCAGCAATCCAGCTCTGCACAGGGAACCGGCCCTTGGCTCTGCCTTCAGGGTTTCCAAAAGGCAGCAGTGGGTTTCGGTGCCAGGGTCACCTCTTGCTTTCAAGCATTCACAGAAAGTACAGAGCCATCAGGCCATGGCTGGAGAATGGAGAACAGGGTTTGAGCGAGCCTGATGGAGAGCCATGCACACACAACAGCATCTTCTAAGTCATTTGTGCCTTCATTAGTGTCCTGGCACCTTTGGCTGAACATTTGGGCAGGTATTGCACCGGCCTTGCCTGTGACACTTCTCGTGTTGCAGGACCCCATCTTGGACACCTGAAAATCTCGCTTTTAATTTGTCTCAGACAGTCATACAGTCCTTGTCTGGAGGGCTGCATTGACCTCCTAAATCTCAAGTCCCTTTCATGATTATGTGCATGGCTCTAAAATGCAGTGGCCTTGCTCTGTTTCATCCTCTGGAGACCTCAGCAAGGGCTTTGTCCTGAAATGGGCGGCTTTGTGACTGGCTTCAGTAAGTCAAGAGCTCTTGTGTTCCTAAGCATTAAAGAGGATTTAAAGTTTTTTATACTCGTATAGGATTAAGTGAACCTCTAGTTCAGTGTCAGATCTTTTTCATTTTTGAAAGAGTTCAGTCTCAATTAGGCATCTCGGGGTTCATTGCCCACCTTGTCTTGAACAATTTCCACATCATCCTTGCTTTGTATTGTTTCAAATAATAATAATTTCATTCACATTATTACCCTGATTCTTATGTGAGCAAATGGTAGCTGTGAGATCACACTCCTCAGGTAAGCAGACATGTAAATGTATCTCAAAAAATTACACCTGAGCAAAAACACATCTCCTAATTCTGTTTCTAGGTATTCTGGAAATAACTGCTGTGGATGTTGGAATCGTTGCCATCAAGGGCCTGTTCTCTGGCAGATACCTGGCCATGAACAAGAGGGGCAGACTTTATGCATCAGTAAGTTTTACTGAAGCCTGACACATGTCTGTCATTTCCTGTGGGGGGAACAGGTCTAGTGGGGAGCACTGATTTCTTATTAATCTGTATTTCTAGAGAAGAGTAACGTTACAAGAGGCTTTTGCCTGGAATTCTCACAGGCAACCAATCAGTATATTCTTAAAAGTGGGGAAAAAGCTGTGTTCTTACTTTCTTACTGCCTGGACAGCCACAGGTACATGGAATGTCAGAATTGTCCAGAACTGGATGCTGGCAGAGACATGTCTGATAAAGAATGTCCACAAGTGACTGAGCATTGATGCTACAGGAAAACAGCCTCCTGATGGGAGTTTCTTTGCACAGAGCTTTTGGTTGGGCAATGGAAGAATTTACAGGTACTAAAAGGCGGGGCCATAGGAAGGAAAGCAAGAAGGAGGCACAAGAAGATATAGATGAAAATAGGCACCTTATTTTATTCCTTTGACCTAATTTTTTTACCTTGATCTGTGAGATAAAATCTGGGGTATGCTGATATAAGTGGGAAGCTTGCCTTTTCAGCCAAGACAGTACTTCCCTTGAGTGAATAAAATACTCCAGCTTAGACTTCTTCACACTCAGGGACATACCAGGACATGTTTGTCAGCATGTACCATACACATTATCTCCCTACTTGAATTTCTTCCACTGTCTTTGATTACATCCCAGCAATCTTGTGATCTCACACTGCAGGACAGTAAAACGGTGCAGTTTCCCCAGGAATCCTGGGGCATGGGAGCAGGTTTGAAGAGGGGAAATATGGCTGAGGTGAAATTGCTCCCTCCTAGAAGTCATTAGATGTAATTCTGTTGATTTGAGCAGCAGGACATACTCTTGAGCGATGTGATCTTTTGTCATGAGAACCCAGCCTAGGTGACACAACCAGCTCTGTACTTCCCCAGTTTGACTCATGTAACTCCAGCTTTTCAGGAGTGTTCTGACAATGTTTACAACCCAGTTTCTGTAACGTGTCTCACGTGATACTCACTAATTAAGGGGGGTGTGTGTGTAAAGATGAGGGTTCTTTGCTGCTGCAGAGAACCACACCACAAACAATTTCGGCAAAGGAAAATGCAGCTGAAGAGGAATGAGGGCATGGTAGCTCTCCTTGCCAAAGTAAAGGCTGTCCAGTTTTATTCTGGTTAATATTCTGATTGAAATAGGTTTGTTTTTTTTAAAATAATACCTCCTTCATCAGTTCACAACCAGCATCTGCCCCAGAGAAATTATTTGGAAGGATGATTTTTTCAAGTTCTTTCTCATCTTTCTCTTTCTTCTTCAGATTAGGGGTTTTTCTGTTCAGATTACTTAAACTGAATTAAAATAAGACTAAACAAATTCTGAGCAAAAAGCTCCTCTCCTAAAGTGCAGAAAAGCCAGGAGCAGGATAGCTCTGAGACTTCTTTTCTCCTGGACTTCCCTTTCTGGTTCAAGGTGCATCAGGCCATCCTGAAGTTTGTTCACCTGTCTCATGCCAAAGAATATCAGGCATGGAAGGTTTCTGTATAACTTGAAAAGATAATTTGTCCCCTTCCAGCTCAAGTTTGAGAGAGACTGTTTCTGACTTGTTTCAGAGCTGGAGGGATAATCCAGGGAAAGCTATTCCACTCCAGCTTTTTTCACAGGAGCAGGAAGGGGTGAGGGCTCAGCTCAGGAGAGACTTCCTGTCCTTGCTTGCCTGTCCAACAACTTTCCTGGTATCACTGGCCCAAGACCCTTTGCAAGGCCCCTGTTACAAAACTCTGACTAATTCAGTGATAATTATCCAGGGACCATTTATATGAAATCATATTGGAATAACTCCATTATCCCTCAGTTCACCAGTTTTCCCATGTTCGCCAAGTTTCCCATGTTTTGCCTGCAGAATTCCTTTGTGCCCTCAGCAGATTGTAATAATCCTCTCCATTTTTCCTGTGTGATAAACCCTCCCCAGCCAGAAGGGAGGCAGGCAGCAGGACAAATCCACCTACATCTGGTGGCTGCATGGGCTCCAGCACTACAGCATCTGAAACCCTTGTCCTTGCAAGCAAGGGCGCTTCCGTTTCACAGCTGGGAAGCCGGGACATGTGGAGTCTTTTAAAGTCTTCTTAAATGCCCATCAGTGTTTCTGGGGAGCGAACAGCATTAAAGACATGCTGTTTGTGGGGTCTAGGCCACCTAGGTCTGGGTTTCCGGCCCCAGCCTGGTTACCTGTGCCCTTTCCACAGCCTCTAAACAATGAAAAATAAAGACCCATGGTGGTAGTTCCCTTCTGCCTCTGTGCTTCACATGTATTAGATCCTGAAATCTTTGTCCCACAAGTGGGACAGGGATGGGTTTGGAGTTAAGGAAAGATGGACAGTGTGGGAGGTCCTTTATCTGTGCTGTTCTCCTGCTCCCAAGGAGGGGGAAGGAGTTCCTTGTGCCAGGCTTCTGCAGAGGCGTCTCTCAGTCAAGGAGCAGGTGAAAAGGAGCAATTTTGGACAGACCATGTGAAATGTGACCAACTGGGACAGGTGCATATTTTGCCTTAACAGTTTGTGAGAAAGGAACAGCCTGACATTTTGGAGGAGCACACTGGAAGGCAGAGTGTGTTTTCATTATGCTGACAAAGAAGCTCCATAAAGGTGTGGTTTACTGCTCAAATATCCGTCCTGAACTGGATGCAACAGACTACACGTGTATCCAATGACTAATATACCAACTGAGGAGACATATTTTACATTCTACTGTAGGATTTTAACTTTTCAATTGACAGCAAAGGTTGATAGTCAGTAATTAAATAATCCAGTTCACAGCTGCATTAAATTTATAAGCAAAAAAATTACAGCTGAACAGTCAGCAGAGCTATTCACTCTTATTCACATGCCATCTTTTTGTTTTCAGTTTGGTTTGGGGCCTCTTCCTGGGGTCTCTGATGCACAGTGTGCTCACACTGCTGACAGGAGCACCTTGTTCAGGCTCAGCGCTTCCCTCCTGCCTTTTCTAGCACCAGCCTGAGATTTTCTTACCAAGTATGTTGCTGTCTTTGTCCTAAAACTGGGGAGACCGTGGCTTGAGACTGTTTTCGTGTTCCCTTTCTAGGAGAACTACAACTCTGAGTGTGAGTTCGTGGAGAGGATCCATGAGCTGGGTTACAACACCTACGCCTCCCGTCTGTACCGGACTGTCCCCAGCAGGGCCAGCACCAAGCGCAAAGCCAGCGCTGAGAGACTCTGGTACGTCTCAATCAATGGCAAAGGACGACCCAGGAGGGGCTTTAAAACCCGCAGGACACAGAAATCCTCTCTCTTTCTGCCCAGAGTGCTGGATAACAAAGACCATGAGATGGTCCGGCAGTTCCACACAAACACAAAATACCGTGAGAGTCTCCTGAAGGCCCCGAGCAAGAACCAGCGCAGAAGGAGAGGACACTGACGGGGTGGGGGGAGGTCATGTTGGGGGTGGAAGGGACTGAGAGCCTTCAAAATGCTACTAAGAAAGCTAACAGCTGTGATTGTATGAGAGGGATTAACATGGATGGGTTTTATACACTGTGTAATAGAACCAAAAACCACATTGCTTCCTTTTAGCTGTTGTAGAATTGTTACCTGTGGGGAAAGAGATGCTAGATAAACTTTGGCACACTCAAAGGTAAATTAGGTGGATATAATAATTTTGTCATCAACTTTCATGTTTCTTTTTCTTAAAAAAAAAAATCAAATATTTTCATTCTAACCTGCTGTAGGCTATTATCTCAGTGATGCTGCCCTCCCAGACCACATGGATATTTAACACTTACCAAATTTATGGCCACAGAGAAGGTATAGCCCTTTCACAGCTCTTCTGACCATAAGAGGCTACATTATTTTTACATAATACAGGAGTTAGAAAACTGGTGTTTGTTTCTTTTAATTTACATATATTTATTTTTATTTTATGACCAGCCATTGTCAATTATACTTTTTCCAAGACTGTCCAAGAAAAGCAAGATTGCCAGCTACTTCAAACACTTCAACAGACTTACACATTACCAGATTATCCTTGATTTTGTTAAACTAAAACTCTGAGATGCCTGACCTTGTCATTTAAATAAATGAATGGTGGTAAAGTGGCATTTGCATTGGTCAGGCTTTGGCAGTATAAATCTGTTTATCATCAGATGAATCTTCTCTTAGAATAGGGCTCAAATGTGATGTGAAAGAGAATAGGTTTGGCTTGAATATTGGGAAGGAATTGTTCCCTGTGCCCTGGCACAGGCTGCCCAGAGAAGCTGGGGCTGTTCCATGCCTGGAAATGTCCAAGGTCAGGTTGGGATACTGGAAGGTGTCCCTGCTCATGGCAGGGAGTGGAATGGGATGAGATTTAAGGTCTCTTCCAACCTAAACCATCCCATGCTTCTATGATTTTTCTGCTGTGATTCTGGAAGTTAACTTCTGCAAAACTGAGGAGAGTGCCCATCACAGATTAAATTTTGAGCAAGGGGTTAAGCTTAAACATTTTTCTTGGCAGCCAGGAGATGACAGAGTAGTACAAAGTTTGAGATGTGCTTGACAAGCACAAAAGAAACAGACAGGTGTGAATCCCATTCCTGATTATATCGAGAAAAAAGGTCTTGTGGGCTGCTTTTGAATATACCCATTTAAATGTGCTTATTTAAAACTAGGTAATGAAAAATCTTCCGTTCATCAGGAGGTGAAATCTGTGAGAGAGAGAAGTGAGTTCACAGAATGAGGTGACCAAGCCTAGGTTTAGCACTGCTTACATCCCTATAAAGGTAAAACCTACCTAGAAAGGTGTCTTTATACCAAATATGTGGTACCAAATCTGTTCCATTCCTTCCACCCTAGTCTCTTTTCTGTAATATTCTAACAAAGGAGGAAACTGTCTCAATAAGAAAATCAAGGTTCCGTGATCTCCCTTCTTCTTTATACTGAAATAATGTAAAAAGACCCTTAAATGACATACATTAAATAATGTTGCACACAGAATAGACCTAAGTTTAAAGAAGAGTACAGAAAACCATGACCCATGTTCCCAAATTTTCCTGCTTTTACAAAATAACCAAAAATAGTGACGGGATCTTCACAGAGTTAATCAGGCAGCCTCATGTCAGGAGCCAGTGTGCAAAAAGGAAACAGGCTGAAAAAGAAACAAGAATTCAGGTTTTCTGTTTGTTTGCTGTCCTGTCAACAACACAGGGCTCAAACTGCTGCAGGATCCAAGGTGCCTTCTGAAGGTTGGTCGTAACAGGGAAAAAATTAAGTTTTGCCTCCTGGCCATCAGGGCTGTTTTGGGGACACACTGCTGGGTCTGCCAGCTCCCCTGTCTCAGTTCCAAGTTTCAATTCCCAGTAAGGGTGAGAAATGACTGGACAGGAAAGGGGGATGCAAGGAGCTCTCCCAGATCTCCAGCTCCAGGAACAAAATGCAAGGGAAGGAATGTGTCAGCAAGCCCGACTGGCAAGGAAAGATCACACACAGCTGAAGGTTGAGAGAGACGGTTTCCCTCATGTCTAGTTTCTAAATAAATAAATAAAACATATTTATTTTGACAGCTTTCAGATTTACTTCACCTCCACTTGTAACAAAACCAAGATCCATTCTCAGCTTTCTCTTCCCTAAAATTGCTGTTGTAAAGTTAATGACTACTGACTGCTTCAGGTATTTTTGATAGAGACCTGATGGTCTGAAGAAAATGAACAAACTCCTGCTTCCCATGACATGAAGTTGCATCTTCACCCTTGCTCCAAGTCCATTTCCTATCAAATGTTTACTCTTCACTCCCAGCTTTTATCAAGGGCAAAATTTTTGTGCTGGCGGTATCCCTTGCTTTGCTGTACCTCTGTTATTAGTTTTTTCTCTCATTATTTTCTCCTGCCTCTCTTTTCCAGATGGCCAGCTCCCTGCCATAAAGGATCAGCAGGTAATTGCTGTGGGTGATTCAGGAATATCGCTAGTTACAAAACGCCTGCTTCTCCTGCCTGTGTTTAGAGCTGTATTTCATGCTTATAGGAATTATGTTTTAACCACTTTCCCATAGGAAATCACAATGAAGTTAAGCTTAACACATGAATTAAATTCTTATTTCAGTGTTAGTTTTTTGTCCCAACAAAGCCTAAAATACTAACACTGAAAAAAAAAGGAGAAGGGAAACAAAAGAAAAAATTATTAATTCATTGGACACAATGACATTTTAACTACTGTAGGTAAGTGATGATTTTCACATCAACCTAAAACAATTTCATCCACATTCTTAGGATTTTTCTTTGCTCAGTCTCATTGCAGCAATTCAAAGGAGATGGCTTTGGGATTTGTCTTCCTTTTTTTTCCCCCCAATCTTTTAAGAAACATTAATGTTCTTGTTGAAATGCTTTTCATTACAGACATTCGTTGCTTAATATTCTTTTAGCAACCTTGAATTCCACAGTTCCCAGACACTGACAGGCTGAAATCCTATTCATGATAATGATCCCAGTTGTATTCTATATCCAATTTTATTTATTTGGACCAGAACCATAGGGGATACCTTACAGGAGGAAGTAGATTTATTTTCTCCTTAGGATTAAAACATCAAGATGTGTCTCCTCTTTTAAAACTTCCTTGAGTGAATCTACATTTCCATTGTACAGGCTTTTTACAGGTTATCAGGATTTTTTTCTTTTCTGTTTTTTGAGGAAGATGTAAACTTTGCCCCTTTGGGGGCTCCAGAGTTTCTGCAAAACAAAGCTATTGCTGTTCTCACCATGGAGCCAGGAGAGGATGCTCACCACAAATTCTTTGCCTTCTCCTGGGCTACCTTCTCTAGCTGACCCTGCTTGAGGAGAGGGCTTGGATCAGATGGCCTCCAGGGCTCCCATCCATCAGCCTGTCTGTGATTCAGTGATTAGTTGTACTTAATTAAAACTGATAATTAGTTTGCCCTCACCTTTGGTGTAGAGATTCCTGCTGTGTATTTTGGAGTCCAGTTCCCTCTCCCCAACCCCTCCAATTTCTCTCCTTTTACAAATGCTTTTCAGTGTGGGATCAGTAGTTCTCCAGCCCAGTCTAACAATCTGGTGTACTATCTGTTCTCTTCCCTAAAATCACTTGCTGCACATTGAGTAGAGTTGCCCAATTGGCAGGTATGAACAAGAATTGAGCAGTTGGTGTATGTACTTCCAGAAATTATCTTTTCAGGTTGTTTTTCTGCACCATCATTTTCCCACACTCCACAAAGTACCTTTTCTTCATCTTCACCTCCTCCCCATGGCAAAAGTCTTTCCATTGGTGCCATTTCTAGCACTTGTAAAACAATTTCCTCACAGTTTTGTACTTTTAAAAAAATATTGTTCTGTAGAAATTATGCAAATATTTATTTTTTTACTTTCCCAGTCACTGATACTTTACTTGAACTGGGCTTGAATGAGGCAGAGGACAGAATTGTTGGGTTTTGGCAAAGTTTTCATTTACATGCTTCCAGACAGAAGACACTCTGCCTGGTCTGTGACTTCTTGATTTGTATCTGGAGCAGATTTTTTAGTTCCTTTACTCCTTGCTTTAGCCCATCATAGCTCTGTTCACCAGCCTCATGTAAAATATCCTGGCCTTTGGTGATTGTGTGGGACTCTTGTGGCTGTCTCTTCACAAAAAGCAAGAGCTGTGCTTGAAACACAAATAGCTCCCCCATGCCAAATAACTAAGTCACAAGGCAGGAATCATTTCCAAATTTACTCACACCTTTTTCTTCTCCGCTTTCTAAGCATGGACTTCCCTTCTCTTTGAGCATCATTAATTTGCCATCCTGAGATTATATTCTGGTAATTCTGTTATATTTCTGTCTCTTTGTTTCACCACTTTATAGAGGTCTGATATTCGTTTCTACAAGCCCTGCTCCTGTTTCCTGCTTGCCTCAGCAAGAACAGCAATGAACTCCATTTGTATTTAGAAACTGCTTCACAGTTATTCCCTCAGCATTTAGAAGAGGGCCAGGTGACATTTCTCAAGGTAATCTTATTTAATTACAAAGAATTACAAAGAATGTACAAAATCTGTTTTTCTCAGTCACCACAAGCATGAAAATAATGCTAGAGGAGATGTTTTGTTCATACTCTTTAATAGCACTAACCAGCCCCCAAACCCTCTGTTTCAAGTCCTTTTGTGAGCTCTTGGATTTCCTGCTTTACTTCCTGACGTTTCCAACTTCTCTGCTTTCCTTCCACAGATGTACAGCCCTCTGGAAAACAACAGGCAAAGAAATCCCTTTGTATCACACTTGTCTTCCCTTTGGATACTTGCATGGGCCTGGTGTTGGAATGGGCTGGTGTTAGTTCAACTATTCAGTCAACAAAGCTTAAGTGTTTCTTATAATTGTCTGAATCGAGGATGTGGTTACACCCCCAGCTTTTAGAAGGTTTTCTCCCATTCAGAGCAGTTCAGGATGAAAAAATCCCTACAAGAAAGCTGTTACAACACGCTGATATTCACCATCATATCTTTGATTCACAGACTCATCTGTAAATACTAATTCAGAGCAGAAAAGTAAATACATTAAAATTGTAGCCAGGCAGGGCAATATATGAGATATCACAGAAAAATACCTTCGTAAAACGTCTCTTTGAGTTGCATTGAAAACCTTCCCCCTGAGCACTGAAATCCAAAATCTCCTTCAAACCTAAGCAATAACCTCAGACAATAAAGCTGTTGACAACAACAATGAAAACTTTGAATCTTAGTGCTTATTTGTAGCTGATAGAAAGCACAAGATTTGTCATTTTTGTATGCCCATGGATCTCATAGTAACATGGGATTTTCCTCCAGGAAAAAAATGTATAACATTAAAAATCAGAAATCCTTTTTCTGGCCTCAAAAGCTCAGGGAGAGCACTAAAAGAGAGAAGCT